GCTGGCCCAGCATAATAAATACTGAAAAATCATCAATGCAATAACGAATCATAACAATAGTATAGAATCCATTATAACTGACCAACAAACCGGATTAAATTACAAAAGAAGATTGCGAAGGCAATATGATCTGTATAAAGGAATTTTTATAACTGAATTATTCAATTTTTTTTTTTTTATTAAAATATTCTGTTAATAGTCCTTTGCAAATATACATGGCAATAATATATAAGATTAACTAATTAAGATTAATGAATTGTTGAAAAACAAATTATGGATAGCAATGTGCACATTTAAGAACAATTGTAAGTGTAAAAAAAATTTAAAAAAAAGACATAATTTATAAAAAGTTAAGAAAAAAAAACAACCCTTGGATATAAGAATTGGAATAAAAAGTTTAATAGAGAATCGGTAGAAAGAAAAAATCATTTATTAAACTTTAATAGAATAATATAATATTGAATTGCAAGTAAAAAGTTATCTGAGATTTTCGAGCGTGATATTTACCCTTCAATTAAGGCTTCATCGTTCTATTTATTATATCTATTAGGCTCTTCACGTTTTTTTGGACAAAATTGAAGATCATTTTTTTATAGTGAATAATACACATCTCTAGCAGTATGTTCAATTGGGTATGAAATAAAAGAACTTGAATACTAGAATACAAGATGCCAAGTGTGTTAATTCTAAATTAAATGTCGCGAGCGTCACGACGGTATATGAGAGACAACGGGCATGGGTATAAAGGATGCAGTTTCGCAAAGTTTTTTTATCTGCTTTAAATTCAAATCGCAACTGCATGACCTTACCTGTTCCAGAAACAGATAATTAACTTTACCTATACTAGATAAAATGTTTCATTGCCTAAATGTCAATAGGTTATAGATGGGTGACTTGATCGCAAGACGGAGTGGAGATACATATGCTGGACATAGTTTATTAAATGTGCTGTTTATCTAATTATAATATACATTCATACAGTTTGGTAGCACTTCAAAGGTATAAAGTTTTTCCGGTAATTGCGAACAAATCCTTGTTCCAATTTAGCAGGGCTTAATCATAACAATCGAAAATGAATACCTCACACTAACTGGGATTGTATACACGTATTTTGCAGTACCTCCGATTTTTACCTATTACGAAAATATGACAGCTTCAATATCCATCCTCTGATATGCACAAACAAGCAATATTATGGAGCGATGTATTCACATGCAATCCTAAGAGTTATTAACTATCCGCTCCGAATCGCAACAATCGCACTTTTTGAACGGAAAGAAAATCGAAATGAAATGGTCTTGAAGAAAGAGAACATAGTGTCGCTAACTACCGACAATTGTGACACATGAGGGGTTGATGTCACTCCGGATTGCACAATTTTTTACACAACTCTCTCTGTGCAATTAGATAAGTACGACGATATTTTCAAACAAAAATATTTCATTATCGCTTTTTTCCAAATTTCAAAAATGGTCTGTCCTTATTCACAATTTTCTTCCAAGAATTCCTATGCTAAATCAATCAGCAAAAAACCTGTGAAGTCCTAATCAAGTATTGAAGCCTTTAATTATTTTACATGTTTGGCTTGATTAACAAGTAAAATTTCGTACAGTTAGCAAAATACGAAGGAGTTTCCCCGTCAAACTATCATTTAGCAGCAATATCCTTAATACCAGAAACACAAAACCGGCGTAAAGAATACTTATATATATGAAGGATCCCTCAACATTTAGACCGTATTGTGACTATGGTTTCAACTTTGCACATATGTCAATATATTAGGAAACTTTCCCAACCTCTGAGTCGGAATATTTATCTAATTTATTATTTGCGGGCAAAATTGTACGAAATTAGAATACAACGAAATACCCTAAAACCAATTAACGATAATCCGCGCGCGCAAATTGGCTTTAAGCGCTCTGTTCGCGGAAAGAAGTTGATGACTACAATTATCAATGCAGATTGTCAATTGTCAATGTGATTTCTCTAAAAGTGTCACATATATTTAATATGTCAAGTAAACTTTTTTTTTATTCATATTCAAAAACCTTCATGAAATACGTACATATTTTACATATTAAAGAAAATTATGTCAATTTGACGGGTAATTTTGTGAATCGCCACAATCGCAAAAATAAAGATAAGAAGCTGATATTTGACGCAAACGTTCTCAAAACGATTATGAATGTAGGAATATGTGGCCAAAAAATGAGCTTTATCTGTGTACGGGTCCACAATGTCGGAAAAACTACACAACCTGGAGAATGGATTTTTTCAAATATTCTTTCATAACTTTTCCATGAGCATATTTTTAAAAGACTGGGATCTAAATATTCTCCAGACTTATCTGCATGGTCGGTGTAAAAAGTTTTTGATCGATTAATTATTACGTCCACAATTAACGATAGAATTTTAATTCCAACTAGTTTCTTGTTATATACGCATTAAAAAGGATAAAATTTCTTTTCTGCTTTTAAACTGCTAAAATTTATCTAGCAAACAATATTATGTTCGAAATCGAACTTCGTTTGGAGTTGGAGGCATTTTCAGTAAATTAAAACGTTCGCTGAGCTTTATGAAACGCTATTAAGTGTACATTTGGCAAACCGTATATGACTGAAAGATTGCTCATTACTTGAGTTTTCAATACGCCTCCTTTGCTAGGCCTACCAGAGCCAAATTAATACTAAGGAGACAATCAATAAAAATGCCACTGTTTCAAATGAATCTTTACTTTTCGAGCGCACTTTATTAAATCCGTTTTCTTCTCGCCTTTCTTGAATATATAAGAACGTATTAAAAGCTTTTTGTAATGCAGTTTATATTTATTAAAGACAAGTTATCTGCATGAATAATTGATTTAAAGATATTTAATTCTTAATGAACGTATTAAAAACTCAATGGTGTGCTCCTCGCTAAACATCACTCTTTTGTGTTTTTTGCATAACTTGTCTTAATTGTGGAAATGTGCTTTTCGCTTGAGGAGGATGAAGACGAGCACATAGATTGATAAAGGGGTCATATAAAGAAGGTCTTTCCATAGCGTTAACTGTGTAGTGTTTAATGCGCTCCCTTGAACACCAAGAAATTGCTCGATTTAATACTATTTCCATTTGATTAGCGGGATTTATTGAATTTGTTTGTTGTGCATGGAAAATTGATGGTGGAGCCTCCCGTCGCTTAGAACGCATGTTAGCCAATACTATGATTGGTACGTCCTTTTTCTCTTTATTTCTCTCAATATCTTGTTTAATGTCTGCTAACATATCTAGGCTGGAGGGGTCTGTTGGATCGTATACTAAAGCGAAGCCATCTGGGAAATGTATATAGTGTCGTGGCAATTGAGCTTTGCCTTGCAGGCCAGCCGAATCATGAAGACGTAAAATTTCTCGTGAACCGCGCCCACTGTCAACACTAGCTACATAGATATCCTCAATGGTGGGATGAAATTCCTTCAAAAAACATCAACATATTGTCATTGTTGAATAAGGTTTGTGTTCAGTATTTAGTTACCGTTTCCACACTAACATTGCCGTAAATTAATTGTTCCAGTAGCGCAGTTTTACCAACGCCTTTCATGCCACATATTAATACTTTTCCCACTTTTCCAATTTTGGTTGTTAGCATGTTAACAAACAACTTTGTATTTTTAACCTATAATATTTTCTCTCAATGGAAGTAATCTCGTTTCAGTTAATTTAATTATGATTTATGTGAAGTAAGACGCTGACTTGAAATGGACTGTCATTGCCGCATTGTCGCAAACCTTTGCCTACAAAAAATATGAAACAAGACTAGAATTATGGCGAATTAGCTATTCCTTACAAGAGATCTTTTTTTCCTACCTTCTTCTTACTTCGTTGCACCACAAATTATGCAAATCTTACGTGGTAAACACAAAAATGCGTCAAGTGAACGCACAATTATTGCCCCACGCACAGCGCAAAATTAGTAAACACATAGCTTACGTGCTAAAGCAAAACTACATTCCCGACATTTGTTTACATAAACGCTATTGAACAAGTATAAAATTGATGAATTGAAAAAATTCTTTTGGACATATAAGCCACAAATCTATTAGCTTAGTCCATCTCCGTTCAACATACCAAAAAAAAAGAAATTCTGTGAAACCTGATTGACTGACTGCCTGAAAAACGACGAAAAAGAAAAAGATGATTTTTAGAAAGCATAAGACAATTTTAATTATTCCTAGTATGTTCGCGAAAAGATTAATAATATTTATGATTAATTCTTAGTGATAACTAAACACAATGAAAAGTCGCGCGACATGTATTATTTTATAAAAACAACTAAAAAATATATGGAAATGTAGCAAAATATATGATTTGAGTAGCAAAAATATCCCAAACAAAACTAATAAATAAGTAAGTTTGTGCGTGTTTGGTTGAACACGAAAATAAAGAATTAAGAAATATGAGGAGATATTGAGGAAGACCACATTGGGAAGCTCACGGAGATTTTGCAACACCGCTTATCCGCTTTCATGAAATGTTTCCTGTGGGGAATAAGCCGAAAATTTTTGATTCGTGAATTGGTCGAAGATCAACTACATAAAAATTCATTACGAGCATATATTTCAGTGGAACTTGGGTTTTTTCTCACACTCATTTGAGGGCTGACACAGTGAAGCATCATTCCTTTTTTCGGGTTGGAGTTCAAGTTTGCCGACTTTTTACAAAACTTTATGGTTTTGTACATGCAAATACAAATGAAACAAAAAGAAAACAGCCCGCGAGGAAGAATATTTTTTTTTTTTTTTTGGTATGTTGAACACAGATGGACTAAGCCAATAGATTTGTGGCTTATATGTCCAAATAATAAATTGTTGTAATTTTTAGTCACGATTATGTATAAAACGTAACAAAAAAAAAAAAAAGAGCGGTCGTAATAACTGGAGTGAGCATGTTAAATGTAATTGTTTGTGTGTGTGTAAGTGTGCTTATTGAAAAAAAAAAGGAAAGAGGAGGAAAAAGAAAAATTCTAAAAGGATAAATTGGCTTTTCTAATAAAGCAAGTTAGTTCCCCGAGATGACGTACTTTTTTTGCTGCAAAGAGATCGACGAGACAGCCATATAACTTGAAAAAGCTAAAGGAATCTCTAATGCCATCAAGCCTGTGACATCTGAAGATTAGATGCTCAGCAGACTCAACAACATTGCAAACTTCACAAACATCACATGGTATAGCGCGAATCATTTTTAAATAAACTATGTCATAAGTGTGACCACTCATGAGTCTATAAAGAATTTTGATTTCCCAGGAATTAAAAGAAGATACAGAGAAGGGTTTGAATTGAAATGTGGAATTTAATTTATAGAAAAGACTATTGGATTTAACGCGCGCGATTACTTTAAATTCGTCGTTTAGCTGTTGAAGGATGTGGTTGCGAATTGCCCGAATTGCTTCATTGGAAGTATATTTGATGGACAAAATTGTCCCATCAACACGAGCTCTCCCTGCATGAAAGTCGGCTTTTACATTAAAAAAAAAGCCGCAGTGGCCAGGTACCCAAACGAGGTGACAGTCATCCACTTGAGATTCGTGCAACGTCTTATGAATGTCAAACACATATTGATTTTCTGCATCTCGTTTATTTATTAGAAGTATAGCTGATCTGCTGTCGGAAAAAATAACAAAATGTCTGATACCATCGGAAATAGCAACCATGATAGCATGTCGAATGGGGAGCAACTCAATAAAAGTAGAGGAAAGTTCCTCTTCCACTTTGACTCGAAGTATTGTTTCAGATAGATGTTTCACGACCGAGAAGCCAGATACATCATGTCCGACGGATTCGTCAGTGGCATATATATCATATCCGTTGTTGTAATAAAAAAGGAGCTTTTCTTGGCATAACAACCTTATACAAGAGAAGTTGACATTTTGTTTTGAGGTAGAGATCGGTTCGAGAATTTTCATGAAGACTTTGCATTTGCTGGTAATGAAATTCAAGGGGGGAATTGAATCTAACTTATCAAATATATGACGAAGTTTTTAATAGCAAAAAGTATAGCTGCAAGTGACAGTATCACTGAGAGATATAATTGCCTGAAAAAAGGAAGGATTTATCATCTTGACTTTAATTAACTCCTTGGCAGTGCAAAAAAGAGCTCTTTCGGAAACTGTCCATTCACCAGATATAACATTGAGAATATGTTGAGGAGTTGAGGGAGTCAGTCCAGTACAACGCTTCAACATTCGGTTTTCAAATGCTTGTATACGTTTTTCAATATATTTTGGGAAATTGCAACATATGGAATGTCCAAATTCAATTTTGGACCTGACTAGAGATTTGTAAACGGTCAAAGCATTTTTGGGAGGCAAGCCTGCCTGATTGTTTGTCATGAGTTTGATGATGTTGCATCCAGACTGCCAATCTTTGAACGCCTTTTCATAATGCCCACGAAGGGTTAAGCTGTCATTTAAAATTCTCCCAAGAAATCGAAGAGATTTTACCTGATTAACTTGGGTACCTTTGATAAGAAGTCTGATTTCACGTTTAGAACCTTTGGCAAAATAAATAGTGTTTGTCTTGCTGGGGTTAAAATATAAATTAAGATCAGCGCATGCATCAAAAAACAAGTTCGCTTTCATCGAGAGGTTATTGACAGCTACTGGAAAAGATGAGTCCGCAGATACGATTAGAAAATCGTCTGCATATTGAAAAGTGTGAGTTTTGTCATCTTGAAGATCATGCAAAGAAGCTGCGTATAAATTGAAGAGTATGGGGCTTAAACAACTGCCTTGTGGGATACCACCGCATATTTCAACTTTTTCGGTACCCATCACCAACACACGCTTGGATAAAAAATTAAGTATCCACAGCCGCATTTGAAGAGGAATCGAAAAGTTTAGGAGAATTCTACCGAGCTTAATCAAGTTGACACAATCATAGGCTTTGCTGATGTCCAGGGAGAGCATGACAACCATTTTCCCTGTTTTTTTTAAGCTGGCTATGAGAAAACACAGCTCATTAACGCACATATTCGTAGATTCGCGTTTTTGATAGGCGTAAGACCGAGCTGGAATAATGTTCTTAGTTTTCAGGAAAGCAGTGAGTCTCTCCTTAACCATAAGGTTGATGGTCTTTATGAATACAGACATTAGTGAAATTGGTCTGAAGCTACTTAAATCATTTAAGTCTTTACCTGGCTTGGGAATGGGAACTATTTTGATGCAACGCAAATCAGAGGGTATAAAGTTGGTGGACCAGCAGTTGTTGATTGCAAGCAAAAGCATGCTAAAGCTTCCTCCAGACAGTGCTCTGAGCATGTCATACTTGACTCCATCACAACCTGCAGCAGTAGCTCTCTTTCTGGAATGTAAAGTATACATTAGCTCATGCAATGAAAAGGGTGTGTTACTGATACTACTAAAAGGAATTGAAGGCATTGTAATAGGATTAACAATTGGAATGTAGCTCTTGAGCATATCTAAGTATTTTTTATTATCACGGTCATTCCATACAGCACAACCGCTTAATTTTCGACTAGAATGTCGATGACCATTGATATAATTCCAGAAGGAAAGTGGGTTGCCGCTACCACATAACTCTTTAATAGCGATGACTCTATGTGCCCTCTTCGCCTTTCTAACTGTAGACCTCCATTCTTTCAGTATTTTCATATATTCAATGTAGTTGGCTGGATTGGCATATTTACTCATTTTTTTTCTTGCAGCTTGGTATTTGCGGAAAAGTGTTGACAGGGAAGGATTCCACCAAGGTTTAGGTGAGAAGGACTCAATGTCAGGGAAGTTCTAGCAGACATGATCACAGACTGAAAGGAACTTTGAATTGATGATAAATCAGAAGGAAGATCAACTTTAGACAGACGGTCCATAAGGAAGTTGCGTGAAATGAAATTTTCTATTTTCCTGACGGAATTGTTACAACTGTGGAATATAATGGGGGAGTGCTGACTTTTGCCAATGGAAACATTGGACGTGTTCCAGTTGAAAAATAAAATAGTTGAGTTCGAGAAAGTTGGATCCAAGACACTGCTCGCCGTGCGACCGCTCCGGTTACAGTGAAAGGTAGTATTGCCGTTATTTAAGACACTGAAACTGCTGGAATTGATGGCATTTACAAGGATTTTGCCTTTGTTGGTAGAGACTTGATCGCCATACAGGCAGTGTCTTGCATTGAAATCTCCAGCTAGAATCACATTTTGTTCACCGTCAAGAAAGTCGCATACACAAAAAGAAAAAATCACAAAGAAAAAACAAAAAATAATAATTGAATATATGTATTGCTTCTTAATTTTTCTCTCACGAGAGATTCCTCCTCCTTCCCTCCTTTTCCTTCTTAAAATTGTTTTCTTTGGTTATTTTATTACTTTATGAAACCTCTTTTCTTTTTTTCAAATATTTAAAATCTCTTTCTTTTTTTTTTTTCCTTTTTTTTCACTAACACCGGTAAACACAAAAATTATCCAGCTGCGGTTTGCGGAGATGATGTGTTGTGTCAAGTGTGAATGAAATGCGAATGGCGAGGAAGAATAAAGGCAATTTATTTTAAAATTACAAAATATTTATCAAATATACGTTTATCTTACACTAATGTACCTTTTTCTATGTATTGTGTGGTATGCAATTTTGGTTTACATCACGCATTATTTTGTAAGAAACGAAAAGTGAACAATAAAGACTATTTCTTTTGAAGTTGAAATACATTCATTATATTGTATTAGAGATTGACAAATAGTAATGCGCGAATTATGAATTAATTAGTACACAACAATGTATCTAATCAATCATTTTTATTACTAATTGATAAACCAACTTGCTAACTTCGTTATTGTTACTTTTGATATATTCGTTGTTTACGTTGAATTATTTTTGTTCAAAAATGTATGTTATATGCATATATGTTTTTATTTACATTTTTCTGTAAAGCAATATAGTAGCGCGGATGCCCGCCCATTCTGCTTAC